TTAGCGTTGACCGAATTTTTGACCCATTTTCATGTTGGTTATTTCTAAGTTTCCGATGAGTTGCCCAAAGGTGACCCACAATTGGACTTCTGTATTCCATAACTTTACCAAACATAATCCGATTTCAAAGTGGCATACCTTTAAAGACTTGTGGTTGGATTCTCTGAAAATCTGCATTCAAAATTTTCATTTTAGCGTTGAACGAATTTTTGACCCATTTTCATGTTGGTTATTTCTAAGTTTCCGATGAGTTGCCCAAAGGTGACCCACAATTGGACTTCTATATTCCATAACTTTACCAAATATAATCCGATTTCAAAGTGGCATACCTTTAAAGACTTGTGGTTGGATTCTCTGAAAATCTGCATTCAAAATTTTCATTTTAGCGTTGACCGAATTTTTGACCCATTTTCATGTTGGTTATTTCTAAGTTTCCGCCCAAAGGTGACCCACAATTGGACTTCTATATTCCATAACTTTACCAAAAATAAACCGATTTCAAAGTGGCATACCTTTAAAGACTTGGGTTTGGATTCTCTAAAAATCTGTATAAAAATTTTTCATTTTAGCGTTGAACGACTTTTTGACCCATTTTCATGTTGGTTATTTTTAAGTTTCCGATGAGTTGCCTAAAGGTGACCCACAATTGGACTTCTATATTCCATAACTTTACCAAAAATAGTCCGGTTTTAAAGTGGCATACCTTTAAAGACTTGGGTTTGGATTCTCTAAAAATCTGTATAAAAATTTTTCATTTTAACGTTGATCAATTTTTCGACCAAATTTCATGTCATATTTTTCTAAGTTTCAAATAATCTAGTAAGTAACTTCCTAATCTTGTCAACCAGTGTTATTGGACACAAAAGCCATAGGCAATTGAAGATAGCATCGAAAGGTGGAGATAAGATTTCAGATGGGTTTATAAAACCTCTGATAGCTTGAGATAAAACAATCAGTGTAAACGTTCAAGTTTCTGATAAAAGTTGTTAATTTAAGATATTATCAGATAAAATCAAAGACCTTTAAGTGAAATATAAGGTCTTAGAAAGCTTTCATTTTTTGACTACCGAAAATAATCTCAGAATCGGTAAAGAGTTTATGAGCAACACGTTTGAGTAATAAATAGATCCAATAATACCTTTTCCGTTAGAAGAAACTTGCCAATGCAATAAAGATAAAAGGAAATCAAAGAATGCCTAGATACACTAATTACGAACATTGGCAGCCGAGCTCTGATTTATTTCAGCAATTGTGGTAATGGATGGTAAACATTTAATGAGAGCAAATAAAAATCAATGTTGTAGTAAGAATCGAGAGAAATAAATTGATTTATTTGCCGTGCGTTGATAAAGAAGTAAGCGTATATAGTATAGCATATAGTTCAGTCGGGAAAGAAGAGAACATCGGACTTGGATAGTCTGGGGTGCGGCGATAAGACTGGCGAAAAACAATTCTTGTCCCAAGCGCAGCCAGTCCAATGTACAGCCGACCAACTAATCGTGCTCATGAATTGCGGACATGACTTCCAGACAAACGCAAAACTAGAATTACCCAAAAATACCATAGTGCTGCCAATTTTGTCTTTTTTCGTATTGTTTTAGGGCGAAAATGGCTAAAAAAATACGAAAATCTCATTATTTTTTTATAGTTGTTTTTTTTTTTAAGGTATTTAATTGTGGGTATCCATATAAAATCCTATTCTTTCTTAAAATAACCTAAAATAAGCGTTATTAACTATGTTTTCAATATTTTTTTATTTATTGATCTGATCTAGTTCTGTCATTATGGCTTTTTTCTGGTTGTTTTGATAGTGAAGAATTAAAAACGGAGTTTGAAAATTCCAATTAATATTTTATTAGCAAGTTTTTTGGCAAAAATTAATTGTCAATAAGAAAACAAATTTGATGTTTTCCCATTATTGTATTTAATAAAGCATTCTATTTGAAGCATCATATTTTCATACTTCCCAATTAAATTAACGTTAACGTCTATAAGGCTAATTGCAAAATATTGACAGCTCTAGAAAGAGCGAACCATTCGATGTTCACAGATAAGATTAAGAAGTTCCCGCTAAATGGCGGCCACTCCTACGGGCTTCTATAAAAGCCTCGATGTCTGAAGCTGTGCCAGTCATTAGCAATTCTCAGATTCACTTGGAAATGGCCAAGAATTCGTGGCGGCTTCTTTTGGTGTGCCTAATCCTAGGGCTAATGCCCGGCATGAGTCAGCAGGTGGGGTTTATGGGGAGCACGTTACGTTGCAATCGCGATTAGGCCCCTTAATCGGCAATTAGTTGATTGGTTGTTTATGGTTATCGTTCTCCGTCTCGTTTTCTTAATTTCCAGGCGGCTTTGGCCGACTCGGATTACTATACGGCCGGAGTGGTGGAGTTCCGCCAGTCGATCCTCAGCGCATCGGCCTGGTCGGATTCCCTCGAGGGTTATGTGGAGATAATACACTCGGAAAATGCCAGTGCCACGGACATTATTGTGTTCCCCGAAAGCACGCTAAACTCCGTGGGCTCCACCACGTTTGTGCCCAATCCCGACGATCAGATAAATCCCTGTTTGAGTGATCCGAATGCCACCTACTACGAGGAGTTCCTGGTGACCCTATCGTGTGCGGCCCGCAATGCCAGTAAATATATCGTGATTAATCTGACAGAGAAACAAAAGTGCACGGATGTTCCGGAGGATACGAGACCATGTGCCTCGAATGGACTGAATGTGTTCAATACCAATGTGGTCTTCGATCGTCAGGGAGTGGTGGTGTCCAGATACCGAAAGGTGCATCTCTACGGCGAGGCCAAGAACAACACCTACCTGCCGGAACTGATTACTTTCGAGACGGACTTCGGGGTCACCTTCGGGCACTTCATCTGCTTCGACATCCTATTCTACCAGCCTGCCCATCAGCTCGTCGTGGAGCAGGGGATCACGGACTTCGTCTACCCGGCCATGTGGTTCTCCCAACTGCCCTTCCTTACAGGTGAGACATACTCGTGTGCGAGATAAAGAAAGTGGGGCTAGTTCATTGACATGTGTCTCTTATCACGGCCAATCGATTGCTAATTGATGGCCCTCGCAACCTCTCAAGACGAAGTGCCTTTAACCGATTATGCACTGCGAAAAATAATCGGACTTACGGTTGTAAAGACTACAAAGTCATTAATGGCAGGCAATTAAGCAGTAAAGCTATGACATGTAATTATACACTTAGCCTTGTCTCAGTGGCTTTTTAGAAAAGCGCTACACTAATATGTAATAAAACTAAAGAACTCATTCTACGCGAACTCTTCAGAACAAGATGAACTGAGTAGATTTTAACCCCTATTGTAGTAGAATTACTTTAGCTTTGAAAATGATCACAGTTTACTAAGGTTTCTTACTTTTTGTATCTTTTCATTAATAGCTGTTCAGACCCAACAGGGTTGGGCCTATGCCAACGATGTGAATCTTTTGGCATCTGGAGCCAGTCGACCCTCCATCGGAAATAGTGGTTCGGGAATATATCATGGACGTTCTGGTACTTTGACCAGTGTTATGAGGCAGGATTCCGGTGAGAGGACTATCTATGTGGCCCAGGTACCCAAATATACCCGCAGTATATCCCTCCAAAAACGTGTTAGGAGGAGTACTCCGGAGATCAAAACGCGACAGGTTGCCTCAAGCTCAAGTTTCTACATGAAGCGGGATTATGTGCAGAACTATGAGTCTGATTTGCTGCAGATAGACCAGGGAATTAGTGGCACCATCAATAGAACTATTTGCCAAGGCAGCTTTTGCTGTAACTTCGATATAGCCTGGAGATCCCTGGAGAGTACGGTGCAGAATGGTAGCTACTACAGCTATCGGTTGGGCACCTACGATGGTTGGCGAAACGAACAGCAGGTGGATGCCAATTACATCCGTAATTGCGCATTGTTTACTTGTTCCGGGGACTCTATCGATGATTGTGGCACCCTGCTGCCCACCGAGGGTGCTCTTCAGCAGCCCCGAGTGGCCTTCACGCGCCTGGTGATCGAGGTCACCTATCCGGAGTCGCGGGAGTTCCTGCTGATCCCCGACACTCTGAAGGATAATCTGCTGCCCTTGGAGCCCAATCAGTTTGAGTGGTCGCAGCAGAAGCCCCATGAAGACAGGTGAGATATCTAAAATGCAATTTTAAAACAAAATCTAAATAATATTGGGGATTTTTGTGATCCTTAGCTACGTCCACGAAGTTCGCTTTGCGCTCAAGGAATCGCAGGAGGTTAGCAACCTGTTGACCTTTGCCATCTATGGTAATTACTACGACAACGAGTGCACTTTTGGAGTGGGCACCGAGGAGGAGCAGCTGGCCTGCGGATACAGAAGCGGATCCTCTGGATTGACAATCCTTGGGGGATGGCTAACGATGCCACTGGTTATCCTGGTTATCACCTGGAACAGGGCTTAATGAGATCAAAGTGTATATCCACAGAAAATTACAATTAACTTAAGATCCACAAACTGTTGGATTACTTTTTTTTTTTACTACATCTATTTCTCGATATTAACAGTATTTTTACAATTAAAATTTAATAAAAGATGCTATCGCCCGTTAGTAATTTACTTTGATGTACCTTGACTGTTGATGATAGCATTTGTTTATAATAACAATATATACACTAAACATTTTGCAGGTCAAAATTATCATAAGCAGGTGGTTTTGGTATACACTACGTACGATACATTTTATTACTGAACAGTTAAGACATTAGTCAGCTGCTTATTTAATTAAATCTTAGTAAGTTATCGGCTAAATATTACACCTTCAGTAAATATTATACCTTCCCACCTAACAAATAGGTCAATAGATAACAATGAAACAAAAGGAATTTTAATGAAATAAACTAAATATAAATCTTAAGCTTACCAATTTGCGGAATTTCACTAGAAAGGCTTATCTTAATTAAGACATACCAAGTATTTCAGATGACTATATATATAGGGCCGTTTTACTTGGTTCAATATCGAAAGCTAATTTTTTGCCAGTCTGTGTTACTTTGCAAAACTAAGGACATGATTTGGAAATGGAGCCTTTTTCTCCTGAGCCTTGTAATCGCTCAAGGAGCATCGGAAAGTATAACTTTTTTAGTTTTTGAACCCAAAAATTTTAAATATATTTTACAGGACCCTCTGGCCGATATTAATAAAGAAGTAACGGATAAACTTAAAACTTTTCTGGAGAATTTTACCGGTCACTGGCAGGATAACACGGAGTTTCTCAACTGGATTTCAAGAATTCGTTCAGTAGTGAACAAAAATGGAACCGATTTAGCTGAGAAATTCGCAATTCGATTTGGCTTTGAATCTTACAATATTGAACGGTCGATTTTGGAGCTACAAATCTCAGATCGTATAGAGGAGTTGGATAGCATTATTCCCCAACAGAAAAATGAAAAATGTTTAGAATTTTATGTGGCTCAAAAAACTATTCTCAAGAAAGCACTTAAGCAATCAAATTCGAAGAAACTGGAAAAGTTATCGGCCAACTCGCTCTCTTGCCCGTACTATCATTATGACTATCCCGAATACTTGAAGGTGGTGGATGCCATTAAAATGGCGCAGCACGCCGTCTAATCGTCCTTTTTGGGCCTTTATAAAAATCACATAATAGTGATTAAATAAATTTTGCGCATATTAAGTTTCTTCTTCACTTTTAAGGCACTCGATTATAGAGTGTTTTCATTTTTAGTAGTTGGCAATCCGCGACTGCCTAAAAGTTGGCTTTAGTTGTAATCATTTAACATTTAAACTGTTTGTATAAAATGCAAAACTCTTCCATCGAAATATCACAATCAGTGATAAGGTAGTTGATAATACCAGTCTATCAGATTGATATATACTTTTGGTAACGAAAACAATTGATAAACTTGTAAAATGCTAATTATAGATTGTTGTTTCCTTATTGTTAGGGCCAATGTCCGACTTTAATGGTAAACAATATTAAGCCATTTATTTGTCTCTTTAGTTAATTTGATTGTGAAGTGACCACACAATCGAACAGGTACAGACAGAAATTTGTTTTCGATTGGTTTTTAGCAGATAAGATAAACCCATCTCTTCCTAAGAACTACTATAAAAACAGCCAAGTTTGGAAGTTGGCAAGTCATTTACCAATATCTAAGTGAGCAAAGAGCATGGCCAAATCTTTCTTGGGTTTTTTCCTATTTTGCATAACCCTAGGGTTAAGCCATCAGGTGGGTGACTTCCGATCGGAAACTAAATGAAAATAGACTAACTCCCATTTTTGTGGATTTCCAGGCTTCACTTTTAGAGAATGATTTCTATACGGCTGGTGTGGTGGAGTTCCAACCTTCAAATCTCTTGTCCGATAATCTAGACGCCTATTTGGAGATCATTCAGTCGAAAAATGCCAGCTCTACGGACATTATTGTCTTCCCAAAGAGCACCCTCAATAATATGGGTAATACGAGCTTTGTACCTAATCCCGAGGATCAGATAAATCCCTGTTTGACTGATCCGAATGCCACTTACTACGAGGAGTTCCTGGTGACCCTATCGTGTGCGTCCCGCAATGCCAGTAAATATATCGTGATTAATCTGACAGAGAAGCAAAAGTGCGAGGATGTCCCTGAGGATACGAGACCATGTGCATCGAACGGACTGAATGTATTCAATACCAACGTGGTCTTCGATCGTCAGGGAGTGGTGGTGTCCAGATACCGAAAGGTGCATCTCTCCGGTGAAGCCAATAACAACACTTACCTGCCTGAACTGAGTACTTTCGAGACGGACTTTGGGGTCACCTTCGGGCACTTCATCTGCTTCGACATCCTGTTCTATACTCCCGGCCATCAGTTGGTGGATCAAGGAGTCACGGACTTCGTCTACCCGGCCATGTGGTACTCCCAACTGCCCTTCCTTACAGGTGAGACATACTCGTTGTCGGGATAAAGAAAGCGGGGGCTAGTTTATTGACATGTGTCTCTTATCACGGCCAATCGATTGCAACCAACCGATTATGTAGATTATTACTTTAGCTTTGAAAATGATCACAGTTTACTTTTTGTATCTTTTCTTTAATAGCTGTTCAGTTCCAACAGGGTTGGGCTTATGCCAACGATGTGAATCTTTTGGCATCTGAAACCAGTCGTCCCTCCATTGGAAATAGTGGTTCGGGAATATATCATGGACGTTCTGGTACGTTGACCAGTGTTATGAGGCAGGACTCCGGTGAGAGGACTATCTATGTGGCCCAGGTGCCCAAATATACCCGCAGTAGATCCCTCCAAAAACGTGTTAGGAGGAGTACTCCGGAGATCAAAACGCGACAGGTTGCCTCAAGCTCAAGTTTCTACATGAAGCGGGATTATCTGCAGAACTATGAGTCTGATTTGCTGCAGATAGACCAGGGAATTAGTGGCACCATCAATAGAACGATCTGCCAAGGCAGCTTTTGCTGTAACTTCGATATAGCCTGGAGATCCCTGGAGAGTACGGTGCAGAATGGTAGCTACTACAGCTATCGGTTGGGCACCTACGATGGTTGGCGAAACGAACAGCAGGTGGATGCCAATTACATCCGTAATTGCGCATTGTTTACTTGTTCCGGGGACTCTATCGATGATTGTGGCACCCTGCTGCCCACCGAGGGTGCTCTTCAGCAGCCCCGAGTGGCCTTCACGCGCCTGGTGATCGAGGTCACCTATCCGGAGTCGCGGGAGTTCCTGCTGATCCCCGACACTCTGAAGGATAATCTGCTGCCCTTGGAGCCCAATCAGTTTGAGTGGTCGCAGCAGAAGCCCCATGAAGACAGGTGAGATATCTAAAATGCAATTTTAAAACAAAATCTAAATAATATTGGGGATTTTTGTGATCCTTAGCTACGTCCACGAAGTTCGCTTTGCGCTCAAGGAATCGCAGGAGGTTAGCAACCTGTTGACCTTTGCCATCTATGGTAATTACTACGACAACGAGTGCACTTTTGGAGTGGGCACCGAGGAGGAGCAGCTGGCCTGCGGATACAGAAGCGGATCCTCTGGATTGACAATCCTTGGGGGATGGCTAACGATGCCACTGGTTATCCTGGTTATCACCTGGAACAGGGCTTAATGAGATCAAAGTGTATATCCACAGAAAATTACAATTAACTTAAGATCCACAAACTGTTGGATTACTTTTTTTTTTTACTACATCTATTTCTCGATATTAACAGTATTTTTACAATTAAAATTTAATAAAAGATGCTATCGCCCGTTAGTAATTTACTTTGATGTACCTTGACTGTTGATGATAGCATTTGTTTATAATAACAATATATACACTAAACATTTTGCAGGTCAAAATTATCATAAGCAGGTGGTTTTGGTATACACTACATACGATACATTTTATTACTGAACAGTTAAGACATTAGTCAGCTGCTTATTTAATTAAATCTTAGTAAGTTATCGGCTAAATATTACACCTTCAGTAAATATTATACCTTCCCACCTAACAAATAGGTCAATAGATAACAATGAAACAAAAGGAATTTTAATGAAATAAACTAAATATAAATCTTAAGCTTACCAATTTGCGGAATTTCACTAGAAAGGCTTATCTTAATTAAGACATACCAAGTATTTCAGATGACTATATATATAGGGCCGTTTTACTTGGTTCAATATCGAAAGCTAATTTTTTGCCAGTCTGTGTTACTTTGCAAAACTAAGGACATGATTTGGAAATGGAGCCTTTTTCTCCTGAGCCTTGTAATCGCTCAAGGAGCATCGGAAAGTATAACTTTTTTAGTTTTTGAACCCAAAAATTTTAAATATATTTTACAGGACCCTCTGGCCGAAATTAATAAAGAAGTAACGGATAAACTTAAGACTTTTCTGGAGAATTTTACAGGTCACTGGCAGGATAACACGGAGTTTCTCAACTGGATTTCAAGAATTCGTTCAGTAGTGAACAAAAATGGAACCGATTTAGCCGAGAAATTCGCAATTCGATTTGGCTTTGAATCTTACAATATTGAACGTTCGATTTTGGAGCTACAAATCTCAGATCGTATAGAGGAGTTGGATAGCATTATTCCCCAACAGAAAAATGAAAAATGTTTGGAATTTTATGTGACTCAAAAAACTATTCTCAAGAAAGCACTTAAGCAATCAAATTCGAAGAAACTGGAAAAGTTATCGGCCAACTCGCTCTCTTGCCCGTACTATCATTATGACTATCCCGAATACTTGAAGGTGGTGGATGGCATTAAAATGGGGAAGCCAGCCGTCTAATCGTCCCTTTTGGGCTTTTATAAAAATCACATAATTGTGATTAAATAAATTTTGCGCATTTTAAGTTTCTTCTTCACTTTTAAGGCACTCGACCATAGAGTACATTCATTTTTAGTAGTTGGCAATCCGCGACTGCCTAAAAGTTGGCTTTAGTTGTAATCATTTAACATTTAAACTGTTTGTATAAAATGCAAAACTCTTCCATCGAAATATCACAATCAGTGATAAGGTAGTTGATAATACCAGTCTATCAGATTGATATATACTTTTGGTAACGAAAACAATTGATAAACTTGTAAAATGCTAATTATAGATTATTGTTTCCTTATTGCTGGGACCAATGTCCGAGTTTAATGGTAAACAATATTAAGCCATTTATTTGTCTCTTTAGTTAATTTGATTGTGAAGTGACCACACAATCGAACAGGTACAGACAGAAATTTGTTTTCGATTGGTTTTTAGCAGATAAGATAAACCCATCTCTTCCTAAGAACTACTATAAAAACAGCCAAGTTTGGAAGTTGGCAAGTCATTTACCAATATCTAAGTGAGCAAAAAGCATGGCCAAATCTTTCTTGGGTTTTTTCCTATTTTGCATAACCCTAGGGTTAAGCCATCAGGTGGGTGACTTCCGATCGGAAACTAAATGAAAATAGACTAACTCCCATTTTTGTGGATTTCCAGGCTTCACTTTTAGAGAATGATTTCTATACGGCTGGTGTGGTGGAGTTCCAACCTTCAAATCTCTTGTCCGATAATCTAGACGCCTATTTGGAGATCATTCAGTCGAAAAATGCCAGCTCTACGGACATTATTGTCTTCCCAAAGGGCACCCTCAACAATATGGGTAATACGAGCTTTGTACCTAATCCCGAGGATCAGATAAATCCCTGTTTGACTGATCCGAATGCCACTTACTACGAGGAGTTCCTGGTGACCCTATCGTGTGCGTCCCGCAATGCCAGTAAATATATCGTGATTAATCTGACAGAGAAGCAAAAGTGCGAGGATGTTCCGGAGGATACGAGACCATGTGCCTCGAACGGACTGAATGTATTCAATACCAATGTGGTCTTCGATCGTCAGGGAGTGGTGGTGTCCAGATACCGAAAGGTGCATCTCTCCGGCGAGGCCAATAACAACACTTACATGCCTGAACTGATTACTTTCGAGACGGACTTCGGGGTCACCTTCGGGCACTTCATCTGCTTCGACATCCTGTTCTATACTCCCGCCCATCAGTTGGTGGATCAAGGAGTCACGGACTTTGTCTACCCGGCCATGTGGTACTCCCAACTGCCCTTCCTTACAGGTGAGACATACTCGTTGTTGGGATAAAGAAAGTGGGGGCTAGTTTATTGACATGTGTCTCTTATCACGGATAATCGATTGCTAATTGATGTTGATTATGTAGGATTATTACTTTAGCTTTGAAAATAATCACAGTTTACTTTTTGTATCTTTTCTTTAATAGCTGTTCAGTTCCAACAGGGTTGGGCTTATGCCAACAATGTGAATCTTTTGGCATCTGAAACCAGTCGTCCCTCCATTGGAAATAGTGGATCGGGAATATATCATGGACGTTCTGGTACTTTGACCAGTGTGATGAGGCAGGACTCTGGTGAGAGGACTATCTATGTGGCCCAGGTGCCCAAATATACCCGCAGTAGATCCCTCCAAAAACGTGTTAGGAGGAGTACTCCGGAGATCAAAACACGACAGGTTGCCTCAAGCTCAAGTTTCTACATGAAGCGGGATTATGTGCAGAACTATGAGTCTGATTTGCTGCAGATAGACCAGGGAGTTAGTGGCACCATCAATAGAACGATCTGCCAAGGCAGCTTTTGTTGTAACTTCGATATAGCCTGGAGATCCCTTGAGAGTACGGTGCAGAATGGTAGCTACTATAGCTATCGTTTGGGCACCTACGATGGTTGGCGAAACGAACAGAATGTGGATGCCAATTACATCCGTAATTGTGCATTGTTTACTTGTTCCGGGGACTCTATCGATGATTGTGGCACCCTGCTGCACACCGAGGGTGCTCTTCAGCAGCCCCGAGTGACCTTCACGCGCCTGGTGATCGAGGTCACCTATCCGGAGTCGCAGGAGTTCCTGCTGATCCCCGACACTCTGCTCGATAATCTGCTGCCCTTGGAGCCCAATCAGTTTGAATGGTCGCAGCAGAAGCCCCATGAAGACAGGTGAGATATCTAAAATGTAATTTTTAAAACAAAATCTGAATAATATTGGGGATTATTGTGATCCTTAGCTACGTCCACGAAGTTCGCTTTGCGCTCAAGGAATCGCAGGAGGTTAGCAATCTGTTGACTTTTGCCATCTATGGTAATTACTATGACAACGAGTGCACTTTTGGAGTGGGCACCGAGGAGGAGCAGCTGGCCTGCGGATACAGGAGTGGATCCTCTGGATTGACAATCCTTGGGGGATGGCTAACGATGCCACTGGTTATCCTGGTTATCACCTGGACCAGGGCTTAATGAGATCAAAGTGTATATACACAGAAGAACGAGCCTTGACTAAATCAAGAACATGTTTTCACGGATTTTATACAATTATCTTAAGACCCACATAATGTTGGGTTACATTTTTTTTATTACTAGATCTATTGCTCGATATTAACAGTATTTTTACAATTAAAATTCAATAAAATATGCTTTCGTCCTGTTAGTAATTTATTTTGGTGTTTGACTATTGATTATAGCATTTGTTTGTAATAACAACATTCATATATACGCTAAACATTTTGCAAATAAAAACGATTTAAAAAAGTTACCATACGCAGGTTCATTTGGTATAAAGTATTCAAAACGTATGTACGTAATACATTACAATTAAATTTTATTAAGCTAAATATTACACCTTAAGTAAATATTATATCTGTTTTGTATAAAATGCAAAAATCGAAATATCACGATCAGTGATAAGGGGGTTGCCTAGTTGATTATACCAGTCTATTAGATTGATATATGTATACTTTAGGTTCAATGTGGCTATGCTAAGCCCTTTTGAAACGAAACCATTGATAAACTTGTGAAATACTAATTATAGATTGTTGTTTCCTTATTGTTGGGGACAATGTCCGACTTGATAGCATTAAACTTTAAATAACATTTAGCCATTTATTTTTGTCTCTTTAGTTAATTCGATTGTCAAATGCCCACACAATCGAACAGGTATAGACAGAAATTTGATTTCGACTGGTTTTTGCAGATAAGATAAACCCATCTCTTCCTAAGAACTTCTATAAAAACAGCCAAGTTTGGAAGTTGGCAAGTCATTTACCAATATCTAAGTGAGCAAAGAGCATGGCCAAATCTTTTTTGTGGTTTTTCCTTTTTTGCATAACCCTAGGGTTAAGCCATCAGGTGGGTCTTCAAATCGGAAACTGAATAAAAATGACTAACTCCTATTTTTTGTGGATTTACAGGCTTCACTTTTAAAGAAGGATTTCTATACGGCTGGTGTGGTGGAGTTCCGACCTTCGAATCTCCTGTCCGATAATCTAGACGCCTATTTGGAGATCATTCAGTCGAAAAATGCCAGCTCTACGGACATTATTGTCTTCCCAGAGAGCACACTCAACGATGTGGGTGATACGAGTTTTGTACCCAATCCCGAGGATCAGATAAATCCCTGTTTAAGTGATCCGAATGCAACTTACTATGAGCATTTTTTGGTGACCCTATCGTGTGCGGCCCGCAATGCCAGCAAATATATCGTGATTAATCTGACAGAGAAGCAAAAGTGCGAAGATGTTCCGGAGGATACGAGACCATGTGCCTCGAACGGACTGAATGTGTTTAATACCAACGTGGTCTTCGATCGTCAGGGAGTGGTGGTGTCCAGATACCGAAAGGTGCATCTTTATGGCGAGCCCAAAAATAGTACCTTCTTGCCGGAACTGAGCACTTTTGAGACGGACTTCGGGGTCACCTTCGGGCACTTCATCTGCTTCGACATCCTGTTCTACACTCCCGCCCATCAGCTGGTGGATCAAGGAGTCACGGACTTTGTCTACCCGGCCATGTGGTTCTCCCAGCTGCCATTTCTCACAGGTGAGTCAGATAGAAAGTGGGTCAGTTCAATTAGCGGTTGCTAATTAATGGCTCTCACAAAACTCTTGAGATAAAGTACCCTCCAGACAACATGTTCAGCATACAACAGTCAAGTGGTTGAGGTTTTTAATCGGGTCTTTAAATATTAAAATCGAAATTGAGGAGAAGCACAAAGTTACTTTGTAATTATATTTACTTACATATTATTACATACATTTTTACTCAGCAAGTAGTAATTACAAATTTGTAGATATTTATATTTGTTTACTTATTTAAACTTTGTTTTGAAAAAGTATTATAAGTAATTACTTAAGGTTCATTAGCTAGATCGTAAGCCTATTAAGTATAGATGCAAAACCATTCATAACCAAAGCTAATGTTCTTAAAATCTATATCTTATTTATCTAAAATAGCTGTTCAGATCCAACTGGGTTGGTCCTATGCAAACGATGTGAATCTGCTGGCGGCTGGAGCGAGTGATCCCACTTTGGGAACTAGTGGTTCGGGGATTTACCAAGGACGCAGTGGCTCATTGAAGAGGGTGATGCGTCAGGATTCCGGGGAGCGGTCTATATATGTGGCCCGGGTGCCCAAATACAAGATCAGAAGGCGAATGAAAAGGGAGCTCACTCGCCAGGTGGCCACCAACTCGAGTTTCAACATAAAGCGTGATTATCTGGAGAATTTCAGGAGCGAGGAGCTGCCAATAGAATCGGGAAAGAGTGGGAATCTCAACAAGATTCTATGTCATGGTGGCTTCTGCTGTTACTTTGATTTGGCCTGGAGATCCTTGGTAAATCCCGTGGGGAACCAAAGTTCCTATAGCTATCGAATTGGCATTTTCGAAGGTTGGCGTAATGCAAAACGACTGGATGTGAATTATGTACGCAATTGTGGATTGTTCACCTGTTCGGGGGATTCTATAGATGATTGTGGTCAGCTGCTGCCCGACCTTCAGCAGCCTCTGGTGACCTTTACCCGGCTGGAGATTCGGGTCACCTATCCGGAATCGCGGGAGTTCCTTCTCTTCCCCGACACCCTCCTCGATAATCTGCTGCCTCTGGAGCCCAAAAGTTTCGAATGGGCACAACAACAGCCCTCCGAAGAGAGGTAAGTTGGGATCTGCCGGGATATATTCTAACTAATTTGTATCTTTTGTAGCCACCAGGTGCGATTTGCCCTAAGGGAATCGCAGGAGGTCAGCAACCTCTTGACCTTTGCGATTTATGGCAACTACTACAATAATGATTGCACTTTTGGTGTGGGCACCGTCGAGGAGCAACTGGCCTGCGGTTATAAGAATCCCAAAATATAAACCACTGAAACATTAAAATCTGAGGAACTATATAAAGTACTTATGCAATTTTCAACCAAAACTTATCTTCTGGGCATTTTAATATTATTTGTCATTTAAATCTTGGGTTTTCATTAAAAGAGAGTATGAGCGAATGCTTTTAAGCATTACAGAATATAAAAACAATCATGATTTATAAATAGATATTTTATTAACCAACGTTTTTAAAGTAAGAATATAGAAAAACAGGGTTTCAGTAATTTGTACGTATGTATATAGCAATTAAAGAACTGATATGGATCACAAATTAAATCTTAAAAAAAATCATTCTATTCAAATAAAGCCATAGGTAGTGAAAATGATAAGATGTCTTCTAAGCATACATTTTTTTAATTATTGGACTTTACTAAATATATATAGTGAAATAGGTTCTACAGAAAGGATGTGTCTACATTATTAAAACCTGTTATTAGAATTAGTTATGAGTAAATATGGAAAAGGCTATTTAATTACCTGTTTTCAGCCCGAAGTTCTACTTCACCAAACGCCTTAAAAACCTTTGCACGTGTGAATAACCTGACAAAACAAATCGCCTGATTACCGATTTAACCGATTAGATAAAAAATCTCGACAGATAGTTAGAAACAAACAATCAGTCGATGCCGTTAGCTGATATGGCGTGGGAAATGTGTATACATATATATTTGTGTATGTATAGGAGAGCTGGAACGGAACGAATAAAACCGGTTGGGATTAGTCGGTTGGCGATCGTTGATCTTTGCACACCATGTTTGGACTCCTCTGTCGGTTTTTGTGGCTACTCAGTGTTGCGGTATCGCCGGTTGTTGTGGCAAATACTGATGATGGACTACTTGGATTTTACACAGCTGGTGTGGCAGAGTTTCGACCGGCGATAATGGGCGGTACTTCGCAGCAGCTGTTGGAGGAGAATCTGCTTGGTTATCTGGAACTGATGGCCTCCGGCAATGGCACTACGGATATTATTGTTTTCCCAGAGGCCACCTTGAATAGTGTGGTCACTTTGACGGCGGTGCCGGAGTCCACGGCACAAAGTTTATGTGACGAACAGCCCGATGATGATCCCGAAATACAAACGTTTTTGAGGCGACTGGCCTGTGCTGCCAGGGAATATAACACCTACCTCGTTATAAATGTCAAGGAACGGGCTCCGGAGAATTGTCCTTCGGGAATAACCTGCTCCAACAGAGGTTATATCGTCTATAACACAAACGTAGTGTTCAATCGGCAGGGAGCTGTAGTTTCTCGCTACAGAAAGTGGAATCTCTACTTGGAACCCTCCACCAACCGAACTGAATTCCCGGAACTGGCCACCTTTAAAACGGACTTCAATGTGACCTTCGGTCATTTCATCTGCTTCGATATGCTCTTCTATACGCCGGCTCAGGATTTGGTGGAGCGATTGGGCATCCGCCATGTGATAGTCACCAAAATGTTCAACTCGGAGCTGCCTTTTCTCACAGGTTAGAACGAATTTAATAAAAAATAGGGAAGTTCAACATATAGAAGTTAACCAATAAAATCTTGTCTAAAATGATTACTAAAATACCCATTAAACACTTAAACTTTTCGATTATAATAAGATGATTTTTGCCGTGTTATGCGCTGAAGTCTGGCTTAGTTTTCTCGCTTAGTTTTTAAGTTAATATCTTAGAGATTTTATTGACATGTATTCTTTATTTCAGCTTCCCAATTGCAGCAGGGATGGGCCTGGGGCAACCGAGTGAATCTCCTGGCTTCCGGAGCAAGTATTCCGCTGGCGGGAGTAAGTGGCAGTGGAATTTATGCGGGTGAACATGGTGCCTTGGCTCGACTGATGATCACCGAGGAGACGGAGGGTCAAAGGAAGTTGCTCCTGGCTCAAGTGCCCCTCGATCCCGAGGAGAACATGCTCTTGGACGAGACTTTGGAACCGGAAACGGCGACTACCACGAAGCTAAAACTCCTGCAGCAACCGGAACTGGAGAAATTCGCCACCTGGGAATTGCCCATGGTCAAAGGAAGTTCGGTAAACAAAAGGATCTGCCAGCAGGATTTGTGCTGTGAATTCCAGATCAATTGGACTCTAGAGGAATCGGAGGAATCTCCATCAGGATATTACTATAGACTGGGTGTATGGGTGGGGGAAAGGCGCTACGAGGAGGAGCAGTACAGTGCCATCCGGCTATGTGGTTTGTTTTCCTGCAGTAGTTCCAATGTGCAAAGTTGTGGACTAATCAACGAAGAGCAAGGAAACCGAGTCATCTTCACTAAACTGCAGATCCTGGGGGAGTTTGTTCGGAAACCACGACGCCTCATTACGCCCAGCACTCTTAGCTTTTCCAATCTCTATGCCTTGCAACCATCTCAATTAATTTGGTCAACGGAGGAAACGGATAATCTAACCCGGATTAAGATGGAACTGCGACAGCCACATAGCCAGCTAATGACCTTCGCCATATATGGCAACTATTTCGATGAATATGCGAATGGCGGAGCCACCACAGTGGAGGCCAGCAGATTGGGAACGCTGCTGTTTCTGCTTATCACGCCGCTAATGATGATGCATCTCATCTGGGAGTAGGTCAGTCCATTATCACTCACTTATCTAGATTTCGAACAATCCCAAGGGGAAAATTATTCAAGATACTGGCTAGTGGATATTATTTTATGTTTTTTATGTTAATTTAGTTTTATAATATAAAACACTATTCCAAAATTCATTTCCCTGTGAGTAAACCAATGCTTAGAATTAAGTTAAATATTTCAAATAAATTTCGGTTTGTCACTTGGTTATTTCATTTTGTAGACTCTGAATAATTGTTTGCTCTCAAAAACATATTGAAAATTTCCAAATAATATTTACATCCATCATTTTCGTTTTTTTTTAAGATTATTTAAAGGTAATGAAAACAAAACTAATGATCCAAGCACACGTAATTATTATTAAGTGCTTGCAAAACTATTAAGTTTGAACAAGTCTATTAATTGCCAGTCATTTTTCACAAATTCACTTTAATGTTGTGCCATAAATCAGGAAAAATGTGCATAAAAATCTTGATTTATTCGGGTGGCTGTCAAAACGATTTGGTTTCCTTTGTCGCCTGCCAACTCATTAAAATCAATGCGTGCATGCGTGAGTGTGTGTGTATGTTTGAATGTGTGTGCGTGTGTGTGTTGCAATTGCTGCGGGCTGCACTTTATATTTGCAGTTGTTTGTGTAGTTGCCCTTAAGCTGGCACATTGTAATTAAGTGTCGCTCAAACAGACACACACTGGAAAAAAGGTGTTTTTTATGATAAGCCATATATATACATATTTCTTCGCGAATAAAAGCTATAAAAGTTGGCAAATAACTTAAAATTTGTTTTGATTCATCTATGTAAATTTGAGCCGACTTCAGTCTAAATATTTTTGTTCAACCTTGGTTAATGACTAAAGGCAAATATCTAATGTAAGATTTATAATATCAGATACAAAATTATCAAAATGTATGGTATGAGGAATTATGTATGTTTTCTATATTTTTAAATGTAGCATATTTTGTTTGCAGTGCATGAAACCGCATCACGTTGTCTATTTGGTTGCCTAATTTATGGAAATCGAGGCATCGGCAATGGAATGGTGTCAAGTTCATGTCATTAAGGTGTGATTAACAAAAATTAGTTGCTGCTTAACGGGACCAAAGCAATCCACCTCGCACAACCCCCCAAAAAACCACCGAAACCCCCCTCCCAAAAAAAAAAAAACAGACGTCTCAGCGAAAGCAACAGTGTGTTGGCTGGAAAAAGCAACAGCTAACGGAAAGGCGACCACCACCTACTAGCCCAACCACCCACCAAAAACCACCCACTGAATTTAGCAGGTGAAAAGCAAAAAGCGAAGCAACACATGAAGCTGGCTGCGCTGCAGACGTCACAGTCGGCGTATCTGCCCGCGACGACGTCGAGAAACGAGGAGCGTCGAAAGTTTTCATTCATTTCAACTGTTGCTTTCCACTTGTTAGCACACGAGGCCGACTGGAAGGCGAAGGGAAGTCGAAAAGGAGAACCCGACTGGAAGGGCAGCACCCCATGAGCGCCACACTCTATGTGGAAAGTCTCCACATAGAACACCTGAGGACAGTGGGTTAATTAGGCGTATCTACATCAATATCTTACAAACAAACAGTATTCCATCAAATTGTTTTAAACCTTCTAATGTTTCGGTAACCTTAAAATAACTCCCATTCTGTTTTTTTTAACAAAAAGTAAAAATCCCGGCATTCGTTTAATTAAATAGTATTGTATTAAACAAAAATATCAGAAAAATGGTGTGGTACATTAAAAGATTTGGTGTATACATGTGTTATTTTCTGACGGCTATAGTGGCGAACTCGCCCACTGTGCGGAGTGCGTGAGCAAGTGCGTGTAGAGTTTTTGGGAGGCGGCGCGTGTAGACTGCGTTATATTTGCCTTGAATTATTCAGGCAGATATGTTTTATGGATCAGGGCGAAGGCGCTGCGCTTTTGGACGTCCGCCAGGCGAAAATGCAATTAACGGAAGAGGCCAGTTAGCTGTGGCAAATCCAAATCCCTAAAAATCCCTTATCACGCGATCATAGAGATATTTTTTTAAGAAGCTGTTTTTTAAATATCTGCAGATGAAGAGATAACCTCTATAATTTTTTTTTAATTAGGTATTTCATTATATTAATATTTATTTTATTATTGCTTTGAGATTGAGTTCTCTTAATCACTATTTACGTTTTGAGAGCAAAGTGTGTTGAGGAAAGAGACCCTTTAACGGAAACATTCCAGTAAGTTGCCATGCGCAGATCGCTTAATTGCTTGTCTTCTTTCTTTTAGTTCGCTTTAAAACTCGGGTGCGTGCGCATCGCAAGTTAGTTGTAAATAGACCACCGCAACGTACAAGGTGGCTATATCAATAAATTGAAAAACAATTGTAAAAATAAAAAACTAGCTCAGTTTGGAAGTTTAAACATAAACAACTTGTCATACGCACAAACGTAAATTTTAAGGCCGAAATTACCTAGGCTAAACTTATTTTTCGTAAAACTTTTAACAGGAAAACTTTAAAATGTAATTAATCAACCTTATAACAACCGTAAATTTACTTTTTTTTTTAAATATACTAGCATTTTCTTTAGTTGTAATGACAAAAAAAGGGAAAGTTAAAATACTCTTGTTAATGTTAAATTTTATAATGTTCAAAATGGTACTTTCAGCGCGTTAGATTGATGAAATCTCCCCTGAGTTTCCGAGTCCAGTCCGGTATTTCGGTCGTGTCCGTTCGTGTTCGGTCGTGTTCGGGCACGTCGCTGCCATTGACGCTGCCACCGCTCTGCCAACTGCGCTGCCGACGCGTTGCGTGCTTTGGCAAACGTAACGGCACATTCTGCGGAAGCTTTCGGCGCGTGCAACATCCAAACATCCAGTAGGCGTTCAGCCTCCGAGCGGATAACACTGCGTTGTTGTAGTTCTTGGAGTCCCAGCGACACGATATACACACCACCCACTTAAACACACACCCACTAAATAAAATACTAGAGGAGCAACCATACTAAATACCGTTGGCATTCAAGTTTTAAATAAATAAACATAAATTAGTGCGCGCCAATAAAAAAAAAAAAACACAGAAAATTTGAAATTTTTTTAAAACTTTTTTTGAGTTGTTTTACGATTAAAATAAAATACATTAAAGTGTCTGACAATCAAAAGAAAGCGAGAGATCTTTTTGAAAATGTTCTAGAAAATTGTATGGCTTTGAAAGGATCCTGTGTGGCTTCCGTTTTTTTTTCAGTTTACAATTAATAAATTTTGATTAGTATATTTTTTGTGTGACAACTGCCTTAAACAATGTTTTTACTAAAATTTCCTAAAACCTTTTTGTTTTTAAATATTTCCAACCTATTTAATACTGCATTGATAAAAAAGTAAATAATTGTGTGATCTTTTTGAACTTCTACTTTTAATTATATGAATAATTGTTTTCTTATGTTTCTTTTAAAGCTTATAAATTTAAAACGTGTTGGGAATACTTCTCTGATACGAAACCATGTGCCTTTCATGTGATTTTTTCCTTAACCTTCAATTTGGAAACAATTTAATAAACAATAAAGTGCTTACTAAATATTTATTTTTTGAATCAATGTATAGAAGTGGTTTTTCATTATTCACATTTAATTTTAAATGATTGCTGACCAATAAATAATTAGAAACGTGGATGAAATCTTGTTTTAAATTTCGTTATTGAATGTAATTTCGTTAATTCCCGATTTGTGTCTTTTTTTTGGAAAATAGTTTTTGTGCTCGTGTTTGGAATGTGTTTTTTCGGTACAACGAGGTATTTTGGCATCGAACGCCGACGGGCGATTTACAGCAACAACAATCAACAATCGTGGACTTCCTGGGCGCGCAACTTTTGTTTTGAAATTCTATATAGTTCTATGTATATATATATGGCGATCTCTATCGCACACGCACACACATGCTCCCTCACACCCCATTAAAACCAAATGTTTGTTGTTTTTTTTTCGGTTATTGTTGTGACTTTGGCAGAGACACCAGATAAAAGACAACATCAAGCTGAATACGGATTGAAAATTCGAAAAAAAAACAAAATTGAAATTAAAACAAAGCAAGCGAAAAGTTTTTGAAAAGCGAAGCGGAAAAGGAGAAAATCCAAGGTAAACAACAACAACAACAACTAAGTAAAAGGCCTTCGTAGCGATAAAAGGTGAGTGAAAATTCCAATGGGACATGATGTTAAAGAATATCGCGCATACGCAACGTTGCAGGTGGGGATTTTAAGAAAAAAGTTTTGGCTAGTACAAGTTTAAATAATTTAACAGGTTGTCTTTGCAAAAAGAAAATGACAACAGACCTTTTGACATATTTATTATAATTTATAAATAATTTGTTGGTTTTAAATGTAGAACAGGAGATTGAATATTTCCTTTTTCTATAATAACTTGTCACTTATTTGTTGGTCGTTTGTTCACCTTTATTCAAAAGAGGGTGGTTGTTTATTTAAAAGCAAATGTTTAAATTCTTTAATTCTTTTTAAGAGTGTAACTTAAATATTACGTATACGTAAAATAATTGTATGGTATTAGTTTTCATAATAAAAAGACAAAATTGGATTGCTTATGGCCTTAAGCAAAACAAATACATGTATAATTCATTTGAAACGTGTACTTCTGTTTCACAAAAAAATGTTTATCAAGTGCATACATTTATTTTTGATTGAATATAAAATTGTATTGCTTAAATAAAGTTTTAATGTAAAAGACTCGCAAAACATATAAAAATAGAACAAGAAAAGAATTTATCCCTGCAGGGACTCCATGCTGAAATATTTTAAACCACAACCTTGGTTTTCACATTTTTTTTTATCGGCCCTTCAGTATTTTCCTTTTGCCTTTTGTTTGTCCGATGCTTTCTTAATGGTTTTCCTTGGGCTTTGTGTGCCATCATCGAACACAGTGTTTACAATTCGATTTTGCATTCTTTTGCCATTCCCATTTCTCACTCACTTCTTTCCCCATTTTTTTCGGAACTTGTCTTCACATTAATTGTTCATTGATGTTTGTTCTCCCATTCTCCAACTGGTTTTTCCCTTGGCCGCTTCCTGTGATTAAATGGAAATAGAGATTTTCTCGAGTAAAGCAGTGTTGTCTTTTCTTTTTTTTTTTTGTCCACGTACTTTAAATTTTCATTGACTGCGTGGCGAATCAAATTTGCCAACTGTGCGTATGATTAATATCTTAAAATATGCGCCAGATTGTTGAGCGAATTATCAAAAGAAACCGTTCTGGGAGGAGAGATGCGAAGGGGATGAGGCACTGGGTATATGGGGTTATTGGAAATGTTTTTTCCTTAATTATTGGCCAAACGGCATTAAATTTTCAAGTATTTACTAAAGCTTAACAAAACACAAACAGAGGCGAACACATTTTCCTCGATTTTCCTCGATTTTTCACTAAATAAATGTGTGTGTGTATCTTTGGCTTGTACATAAGATTATCGAGTACTGGAGGCATTTGGCAATTGGCAGCTGTTCGATCTGAATCTGTATCAATAAAATGCCCTCTCTCTTTCCTTTCGATTTATTCTCTCCGATTTTCTCATTATTTACTTGTCCGGATTTTGCAAATGAATTGATTATAAAGCCCATTGGGGGTTGGCATATGTCTACACACATATTTTTATGCACATATCTAAACAATTAGCAGACAGTTTTTATATTTTTTTTTGGGAGCTTTTTTTGGTTTTTTTTTTGTTCTTTGGGTTTTTCCTTTTCTTTCAGTAAATTTAATTAACGCTAATTGTAATTGTGAATGTAAATGTAATGCGCGAACATCAACCAAGATCTAAAAAGCAAACATATATGTATGAACCTGAGCACACACACACATATGTGGGTATATAGAAAATCCGGACGGAATGAAAATACGGACGGACAACTAGACAGCCGGACGGACATGTAAACAGAGGCAAGCCAAAGGTAACAAATGGCTTTTCAAATAAATTAGCGGGCGGCAATTGTAAACAGAGACAGACGGAGAAAGAGCAGCATATATATGGAGAAAGAGAAGGAGATAAGGACAGATAGCGTAGAGATAGAATGAGAGGGCAAGATAAGACTAGAAAGAGAGGCAAACACACTGGACACGGCCAAATGGAGATGGAATTTGTGACCAGCGGGTTGCTCAATTAATTACTGCATTTTGCATGGCCAGATGAAACGAAAATAGTTTTAATTGATATCACGCAAATATTGAAAATCATTTTAAATTTCCTTTTGCTCTCGGTCTTTCATTAGTGGCGCATTGTCAATCAAGTTAGGTAATTAATTCTGCATTCAATCGAAAACGAAATTCAGCAGCGACATATACATGCGGTTTGTACCTGATATTCTTCCTATAATATTTATTCTTTTCGGTTCAAATTTCTTATATCTTATCATTAATACTTTTTAAATACGAATATCAAAGGAATATCAAAAGCAAAAATCAGTAATTAATTGAATTAATTCGGCTTTAAATCATTTATTTGTATACAAAAGCTTATATACTTAAATAAAATTTAATTACTCGCAGTGTCAAATTTATATACTGGTATAATTAAGCATAATTTGTGTTACTGGAGACAGTTGAAAAAATAAAGATTTATAATCAAACAGTTAACTACTTTTTTTAAAGTTAATAAAATTATTAATTTTGAACTTTAAAGAGTGATATAAAAAGAAATGTAGTTGGCACGGCTATCTCACCACAAAAGGGACATGGTAACGAACCTTGAAATCAAGGGGCTATACTATTTCTTGGGCTGCCCTCGTTAAAAGGGATTGTGGGGTGAGGATGGCCGATGGACGGGATTGCAGCAGCTTGAACCGGTTGTGAGCGGTTTTTGAAATTTTCGTTTTTGGAAACTATCCGCACCGCATGTAGTTCACCCGAGTATTTGCATTAAGCGTCCATCGACAGCGGGCAGCGTTCATTAATTATACAATTACAGTTTGCAGTGGGTATTTGGGTATTTGGGAGAGGGGTTGAATAGGGGATGGTGCAATTTGGATGGGTAGTTGGGTAGTGTTTTTTTTGAGTGAGGGGGGGGTGGTTTTTCATAGACAGACCTTTCGCTGATGCATTTTGCTTACGGGGGAGCACTCAGCTCATTCAACTGCAAAGCAATTCGTGGAAAACCCAACTGACTATGTCTGTCTGTGTGTGGGTATTGGTACTAGTTCTAGTGCATTAGTGTGTGTAAAGAGCTCTTCTTCTTGCCACTCTTATTCTTTTGTACTGTTTGCTGTTTGCTCTGCCCCGCGTTTGATATGCAAAATTCAGAATGTTTACCTTGAAATATGCCATGTCACTTTGCAAGCGATGCGAGTTGAACACTCGATGGAGCATAAGCCAGAAAGAGAGGGAGCATCACGGCGAGAAAGAGACAGATATATAGAGTGAGAAAAGGAGAGAGACATTGCGAAATACTCGTGTACATTGTGCACATTATGCTACCTGACAGGTGAACTGCACAGGACTGTAAAAAGACCAACACTAAGAAAAACTCATAATCCAACTGACTACTTTTGTTGATTCTTGTATAATATTTAATATATATGTAAATAATATTTAATATATGCAAGAATAAAATATTTCTTCCTAATTAGAGGTTTTTCAACAAAATATTTCTTGGTGTTGAAACATTTTCTTTCTCTGCAAAGTAAGCAGCATAGGGAACTTTCATGAGTTTTAGTCGAGCGGGCAGCGGTTAATGAGAAAGCTGAAGGCGGACCGGGAATAGGGAATCGGGGGCGTGGCAGGTCGTAGGGGCTGCCACAATGCCGCATGGCCACATTTGATGAGCTGCTCTGCCCCGGAGTTGCACAAACTGGGATGTTTGGAGGACATGTCCCTGGAAGTTGCACACTCATTACCAGATATGGCCAGCAGCTTGTTACCCGGTTACCTGTTTTCTGTTTTCTGTGCCATCTATTACCTGTCATTTAAGCCCGCTTTTCCCAGTGATCAGCTTTTGTGCTTCTCGGTAGCGGTCGGAATTCCTGGGACTCTACTTGGAAATTCTTCAAAGTGTATCGCTAAGTGCTTGCAAACATGCCAGAGAAATATCTTTCTTTTTATTATACCCTTGCAGAGGGTATTATAATTTTGGTCAAAAGTGTGCAACGCAGTGAAGGAGACATCTCCGACCCTATAAAGTATATATATTCTTGATCAGGATCACCTCCTGAGTTGATATAGCCATGTCCGTCTGTCCGTCTGTCCGTCTGTCCGTCTGTCCGTCTGTCCGTCTGTCTGTCCGTCTGTCTGTTTCTACGCGAACTAGTCTCTCAGTTTTAAAGATATCGAATTGAAACTTTGCACACACCCTTCTTTCCTTTGCACGCAGTATATAAGTCGGAACGGCCGGGATCGGCCGACTATATCCTATAGCTGCCATATAACTGATTGATCGGAAATGCCATAACTCTGCTGTTTGTTAAGTTAGGAAGTTGGGACTCTCCATGGGTATTATATTTGGCCAGTCAATCCGACGTACCAAATTTCATAAGGATCGGCCGACTATATCTTATAGCTGCCATATAACTGATTGATCGGAAATGCCATAACTTTGGTGTTTGTAAAGTTAGGAAGTTGGGATTTTCTATGGGTTTTATATTTGGCCAATTAATCCGACCTACCAAATTTCATAAGGATCGTCCGACTATATCTTATAGCTGCCATATAACTGATTGATCGGGAATGCCATAACTTTGGTGTTTGTTAAGTTAGGAAGTTGGGATTTTCTATGGGTTTTATTTTTGCCTAATCAATCCGACATATCAAATTTCATAAGGATCGGCCGACTATATTCTATAGCTGCCATATAACTGAACGATTGGAAATGCCATAACTTTGGTGTTTTTAAAGTTAGGAAGTTGGGATTTTTTATTAGTATTAAGAATGCATTATGAATGATTTTGGAGAATATAATTTGCAGAATATTCTGCAAGGGTATTTCAACTTCGGCTCCGCCCGAAGTTAGCTTTCCTTTCTTGTTTTAAACATATTTTGTTTTTAAATTTAAAGAAAACACAACCGTATTTAACTCACAGCAACTTGCTGTAGCTCTTTTAAATATATTAAACCTTTGTATACAAAATCAATGTTCGTCTTGCAACTATTTCCTATCTTATTCAATTTAAGCTTACCTTTGTAGTCATGGCCT